ATTTCTTCGAAACTAAATAATAAATATTGCAATTAATTGGGAAGGAAAAAGAAAAAGAAAAAAAAAAAAAAAAAAAGAAAACAAAACAAAAAAAGAATTAATTAGAAGATAATACAAATTAAATAATATATCGTATTATCGTTTTAATCATAATTTTTAAACGTTTTCGAACAATTTAGATATATAGAAATAATTCTCAAAGAGAAAATTACAGGAGGATCTAAGTCAAAGTTGTCTTCGCGAGGACACGCAACGCATTTTCTGCTACCCAACGTGTACTTAGCCCTTATTAGTAAATAAAAGAGCGATTATCGGCAAATAAGGGACATTAGGACGCGTATTAAGTTTATTATAGTATTATAGCGGTTGTTCCGAAAGGTAATGGTCTCTAATCCTAATCTCGTTAACGCATATACGTGTCTTTTAATTACCGTGACGCGAAATCACCTGTATGGTTCATGAAATTCAAACATACGTGAATATATATATATATATATATATATATGTAAGTACATATATGTAAATATGAATGTATTTATATATGTATTTATATAAACAGGTATATCAAAATTGTTTGTAGAATATCAAATGTAAATGTCGATATTAGAAAAATGTTGACTTACGAATATATTTTTCTTCTTTTTTTTTTTTCTTTTTAGTTTGACCTTAAAATATTTTTATCTAATAAATAAGAATAAACGACATATTTATATATATATATATATATATATATATATATATATATATACTTTTTCGTACTTTTTATAATTTCTACTGTTTATCATGGTTAAGTAACTACATTGATAGGTTAAAACGCATAAACCGCTTATTTACTCGTGAAATTAGTCGGGAACAGTAATTAGTCGACAAGAATAAGTATCGTAAAAGTCGTCTTTATTTTATCGACGAAGTAGTGTAAGTTATCGTGAGACATTTTAAATACTGCAATAGGTTTTGAAGGCAATTGAATTTTTCTGTTGTCCTTTTCTTTTCTTCTTGTTGTTTTTTCTTTTTCTTTTTTCTATTTTTTTTTTTTTGTTCTTTTCCTTCTTTTTCCCTAT